AAACATTGCCTTCTCTTTTTCCAAATCTGTTTGATTCTTTGCGTCTGTGGCCTTTCTTAGGGGAGTACACCTTCTGATCAGAAATCATCTGGTTGTGCACTTTTTAGTGGGACCATTGGAAGTTGTGTCAGACCATGGCTCCATCTAGCGCAGCACTGCCCATTTCAACAGGCTCTCTGTGGTTTCAGGCAGGATTCTGTCCTACTCCTAAGAGGAAATTCCTCATATTTTTAGTTTTATTCTGACTTCCCATCCAAACACTAACCAGGCCTGAATCTGCTGAGCTGCTGAAATGAGAAGAGCTTGCTGAGTTCAAGGCAGAATGGCAGGTAATGGGAAGGGTTTTTAATCGGGGGTGTTAGCAAGTCTTTGGGTCCGAGGTCCATGTCGGAGTCTTTGGTACCAAGTCCCGAGTCCCAAACCCCAAGTCTGGGTCCCTATTAAAACAAGCTTTTGTTTCCCCCAGAAGAAAGCAATTGAGTAGCTGGGTTCAAAGTCATCAGTTGAGTCAGAGTCATTGGGGGGGAAAAAACTACACCCAGGTCGAATCTGAGTTGAGTCACTGGCCTGACACAACGTTAGACCATGGAGCCATGGTCTGGCACAACGTTAAGCAATGTTAAGTCCGACTTGACAGCGAGTCCTTCAACCTGAGTCCTCATCCCTTCATTTAACTGTTCTCTTTCTTTAACCTAAATAGGGTCTTCCCAATTAATAGAGTTGGGTTACAGTATTTTTCTTCTCCGTTTAGTTCCGTTTTTCCAGTCTTTTCAATCCATTATTACAGTTGTAATAATGGATTGAAAATAGCATTAGCATGACTTTGAGTGATCTCTTTGGCCCTCTGCATCACCGGCCACTCCATTTAGCCGGAAGGTCAACATCTCAGTCAGCAGAGATGTTTCTGGAGTGCTGGCATTCTGCCAAAGTGGGAGGATAAGTCTGGAGGCTGTTCTTGTATCTGACCCGCCAAGTATTTCCCTAACATTTTCAGTTTGTTGTTGGCCTGCTTCTAATATTAACGATAGTGGTTCTAAATAAACTGTTTGTGCCATCTCTGTCACAGAAATTGCTCCGATTATGAGGAAATCGCTGAGAGCCTTCAAAAACAGAGTTGGGCCACGGTAAATGAATACTTAAAGCTTGACTATCATTCTAACACCAGATTTAAACACACCTTACAATATTTTGTTTTAATGGATAAGAGTTCCCCCCCTCCCCTTTTTGCATGTTCTGAAATGTTTTGGAAGACTGAGAGTGTAAAATGTTATCTTTTTTGGAATAGGTTTTGGTTAAAGATCCTGAATATTTCTACTAAATCTCTACTACATTGTATGGCTTGGAGCTAGAGAATGAGGGTGTATTGTGTGTGTGTTTTTTTTTAAAAAAACTACCATGAAATTGTAAAATGTGTAGAGCTTCAAACTAATTCATTTTATTTCATATGACACCTGGGTCATAAGATTTAATGTAAGGAATAAAGAGAATTTCAAGATTCTTCTGGCAGATACTCATCTTTGAACTCAAATATGCCAGCTCTTCACATGGATCCCAGATCCACCCCATCCTTTAGTTGCCTGCTTCAAACTCTTATGACTTCCTTCTTCAAAGTACTCAAAATGCATCTGCAGCAACAAGAATTATGCTACCAGTTGGCCTGAACTAGCTGAACCCATTATGCTAGCAAAGGACTCCTCACAACCTCTAGGCTGTGGTTCAGGTGCCTATGAATGCAAGCCTTGATTTCTCTCAGTTTAGAGAGAGCCGTAATTGTGTTCTTTCATTTTCATTGGGGCCTAAGGCACTGAATTTTCTGCCGACTTACTAGTCATACAGAGAAGCTTCCTGTATTCTTGCTTTGATGGGCAAAAGTCTGACCTGTGCTAAGATTTGCATGTGGTGTTGTCATTCACAAGATCTCTTTCTAGTGTGCCAGTCATAACTGTTATACTGAGAATACATCTTTCTATGACTGCTGTTTGCAGTGGTACTAAAGGCCTGATCCAGAAGCACACTCTGGGGGCGGCGGGGGGAGGCAGTCCTGTGTCTGCTTACCCAGCAGCGTGTTCCATTCAGTTCAGTTGGACTCTAAGGAGACATGTTTAGGTTCGCAAATGTCTAGCTACAAAGCAGGTTCTTCCAGCAAATGGGTCGATGGGAATTTACCTAAAAGATAGGGCCCCAGGAATAAGACAGTTGGGCCAGCTGCCTACAACATCAGCTATAATGAAAACACAGGCATGCAAAGCACAGCCACTGTTATTAATTTATTGTCCAGACTCTTAGTAATCATTGGTAGTTTTTTCCTTACTTTCCAAACTTAATCATGATCTACTAAGAGTCACAAAGAGTAGTGTTGTGTAGGGATTTAGCTTGTCCACTGGAAGGCTAAAATTGAGGGGAGAACAGGAACAAATACCACACTAAAAACAGTAAACAAAAGCAACACCAAAAACGCGTTCAAAGCAATAAGGCAAAACAGTCCATTCAAGATCCCAACCCAGGCAGCCCATCCATAAGGGAAAACTTGACTGAAGAGGAACGTCCTCGACAGCAAAGATGGGGCAAATCTGCCTTCCAGTGGGAGGGAGTTCCAAAGGCTGGGAGAGCCTTTGAAACACAGCTGCATCTTTGATAGTGCAGGGATGGTGTTAAAACACTGGTATGTGTTTCAAATACAGTGGGGTCTTGACTTGAGAACTTAATCCGTATTGGAAGGCGGTTCTCAAGTCAAAACGTTCTCAAGTCAAATCTGCATTTCCCATAGGAATGCATTAAAAACCATTTGATCCGTATCTGCTCTTTTCCGTCCATAGAAACTAATGGGAAGCTGCTATTCCGCCTTCGACCACTAGAGGGGGATATTTTGTTTCTTTTTTTCTTAGGTCAG